TTTTGAATTTATAAGTTTTAGGGTAGTAAATTTATACCCTGAAAATTTTTGGTTCATCTTCAAAAATAATTACCCATTTTTTGATTGTATAAGAAAGGACCCATAGCAGTATATTTTTATTCTTTAATTTTTTTGCAATTCAAATCTTTTTATTTTATAAAAATCATCTTTATCAATATTATTATACTTATTAAACTTATAAATACTTTTCAAAAAATATATTCAAAAAATATTATAGAGTTTAATGTTTCAATACAACTTTTATATACTTTTTTATTCTAGTATTACTTATTATATTATTCAAAAAAATTTACAAACTTTTTCAGTTTCAAAATCTAAAATTAATTTATCTTCTTCAATTAATTGATATTTGATAACTGTTCAATTAAAATCAATCATATTATTCAAATCAAAATAACAAAACTGGTTTATCAATTCAATAATAATAATAATAATAATAATAACTAAATAATAAATAACTTCAAGTATATTTTATTATTTATAATAATAAAAGTCTATTAACAAGTCTCAAGAAATTAAAAAGATAGGATTATAAGTCTGACTAGAAGTTTTCTTGAAGATATAACTTTTATAGATTTTATAATTTATTTAACTTAATTTTAGTTCTAGTTATTTTTATTTTTTTTTACTTTTTCTAAATATAAAAATCTTTTTTTTGAATAAATAGGTATAGTTGCTATTCAGCTTATATTTAATAATAGTATTGTTTAAAATTTTGTTTCTTTACTAGTTAAATATAGTATGAATAGACAAGTTAATATTTAACTTATTGTATACTTTTGTATCTAAAAGATATTGTTTTTTTCTGAATATATATATATTTATATATACAAAAAATAAAAAATAATATTTGTTTATTTTAAAAAAAAAATAAAAAAAAATAAAATTAGATTTACTTTTTCAAATAATAACAAAAATACAATAGTTATTTTAATTTTAACAGTTTTATAAAAATAATAATCAAATTAGTTTAAACTTATTAAAATAACAATATTATATAATACAATATTATATTTATATAAAAATATTAAACTTTTTATATATTTTATTTAGTTTTTAAATAGTTATTATATGGTTTTACAGATTAAATAACAAGATTAAAATTTATTTATTAAATTCATAATTAAAATAAAATTGATATTATGATTTCACAAATTTAAATAATATATTTAAAATTTAATTTTTAAAATTTTTATTATTTTTATTATTATTTATAAATCATTTATAAATCATTTTTAATATAATATTATTTATTTGATGTAATATTATATTAAAGATTTTACATATATTGTTAGTATTATTTAAATAAATATTTAATACAAGAATAAGATTATTAATTAATTAATAAAGTTTTGTATTTTATATTTATTTATTTGTAATAAAAAAAATTATAACTAAAAAAATAATTTTTACTATTATATATAAAATTTTTTAGAAAACAATTTTATAATATACAATAAATTTTCTAAGATTTTATTTTTTATTTTATAAAAATTAATTTTTCAAAAATTTAAAATTTATTGATTTTAATATGAATTTTTAAAAAATTTATATTTTTCATCAAATTTCAAATAATTTATTTAATTAAAAATCAAATTAATTTAATTAAAATATTAATTAATTAAAAAACATTTTTTTAAATATTTTTATTTTTCTTTCACAAATTGATGAATTAAAATTTTTGTATGTAATTTATTTATCAATTTATTATAATTTAATTAAATCAATATTTTTTTTACAAAAATTTTTTAATATAATAATTAATTGGATAAAAATATATCAAGTAAATTTGTTTTTTATATCCTTATTAATATATATATTTAAATGTTTTATTTTATTTTAAGTCAAATAAATTTATTTTACTCACAAAAATATGAAAATGAGAGATACAACCCAGGAAAAATCTGTCATGTATGATGAGCATACAGTACAGCATACAATGATGATAGAATGGATTTTTTATAGTGTGATACATAAATGGATCATTGTAATTTGGTTAGGCGTATTTCTACATTTAGATAAATGAATAATAGCCTATCGATTAAAACAGACTTGTCAATTAACCTTCTTGCAAATACTTGATCGCAAGCAACAGATGAAGTAACGTTAGTTAGTTGATCATAGCTATCGTGATCTCAAATTAGCTGTCACTACTTTATAATCATATCTCTGATTTCTCACACAACGTACGATCTCACATTCAAACTTTTTTTTCACATCAAGCATGACAAAACTTCGACATTACATACCCGCCAATTCCTACAGTCGCAGTTCTTTCTTTGATATTCGAAATGGAAAACCCATCGATCCTCTTCGATTCCATTACACCCGCAGGTCGATTTCCCCGTATGCGATTATCAATTTGAATATCTTAAATTTTTTCAGCCAATATTTCAGTAGAAAAATGGATAAGATGATTCTTGATCTGAACGTGCTTGAAAGCGACGACCACGATTCCTCTGATCCTAGCTGTAAAGGTTTTTGTCTCGCTTACAATGCGCCGAATTTTCTTAAACTGAGTAGTTACACACTTTCGGGAAAAAGTAGTCGTGGTGCTTCCAGACTGCGCGGTAGAAGTGGTAATAATCGCGACAATGCTATCTTCTTCGATATTTTCTCAACATTTTTAAGTCCGCATTCAATAAACGATGCAAGGCGATCTGGAATGATCGATGATATTAGAAATTTTGGAACCAAAGAGAAATTAGTTAACTTGTTACAACAAAATAGAGAATTGATCACTCTGTTTCAGGAGCGCTTGGGAAAGGAAAAAGAGACCCCAAGTATTCAGGAGAATAGTGAGTTGTCCGCTTTATTTCAAGAACTCGATGGAGACACCAATTTTTTTAGGACCTCCGAGGTTCACCTGAGAATTTCGACATCATATTTTGCAGAGCACAAACGAGCATTGGGATATGACGGTACTTGTAATATGGCAAGTTATGTTGAAGTTGGTTAGGTTGTTTTTGACAATGGATTGTCCTTATCTAAACGAAAGGATAAATTCTTTAGGAATACGAAATCAATAAACATATTCACGCGATTCTCTGCTCATTTTGTTTGAAAATGCTTACCGGATCGATCGCATCTCTCGAACCACCAAATTTTTGTAACTCTGGAAACTTCATACCATTTCACCACCAAGGATGCGACCTTTTGGATCATGCGAAAAGAAGAATTGATGATGTTGACGTAGATATGGTTAATGAACAGGTGAAGAGAAAGCGAATTGATCATTGCAAGTACTGCGATGTTGGAAATATCTATTATGAAAAGATTGCATATTAAGATTGATCGAGTGTTCGGTTTTGAAGCTTAACGGTATTTTGACTCGAAAGTCCGTTCCGAAAACAACAATAGTGGCGGGTCAGTTGGATGTGTTCTAAAACATTGGAGCCGATCGATTTTACGTAATTTTTTTCCCCATAAAATGTTTCTCTGGCACAAAGACATACCCATCAAATTTCATGAGATAATGACAATAATTAGTTGATTGTGTCGATAGTTTTGCATTAGGTAATTTTATTTTTAAAAAAACATGATGCTTAATAAGATTATATAATAAAAAGTAATTTTAACAATGACCGACTTTATCGAGAAATCTGACGCTTTCCTTGATACAGGGTGCTCGCGCATATCATGCATTATCATGTAATTCACACACAAAGTTCAATTCATGAATTAATTTAATGTAAAGCGGGCGCATGAAGGAATACCAGAAATTGTACTAAACGGGTTAAATTCATTCGTGCTGGGAATTGTCGATTTTAACTTAAAACATAAGCCGTCAGTGTTCGATTTTCGAACAATTTAGGCAGGCATTGAATTTGTCCATGTTATTGTTGTTATTGTGACACAGATTTCCAACGTTAATCAATACTAACCTTAGTATTATTCTCTTTGCACAATGCATAATACTGATTATTATCATCAAATTGTAGTATTCCCCACGTACAAGTTGCTGTTAAGTAGGAGATGTTACACGTAATAATGCCTTCTACGATACAAGCTTGAGCTGCTCGTGAGATAATAATCTCACGGATGATAGTTTGAATCGCTTTTTAAAAGAACCTCAAAAGAGAGTGTCAAGAAACAAAAGGTTTACCGTTTCAATATCCTAAATTGATATTTTAACTGGCGTCGAGAAATCTAATAATGGAAGAAAAACAATGTATTTTCGCAAGCGGGGAGACCGCTACGTGGATACGTACAGTAAGTACAAAGTTTTCGCCCAATTTCCAAATTCATTTATCCTATTGAGGCGGACATCTACTGTACGTATGCATGTATATCTGTATCGACCACATGCTGCGTTCGGCGAGAAGGTTTCACTGATGTTGATAACATTACATATCTAAAAGATCAAAACCTGCTGTTTTATTTGTTTTTACACACTTTCACGTTGAGCTTTCTTATCGCTCAGAAATGTACCACAACGATACGTCAAACAGCTGAATGAGAACGGGGTTGCGTCGAAGGTAATCTGTGCTTCACATATCTGGTGTGCTGGGTCGCAATTGGCTTTTGCGTGGGTATGTATGTAGGCTTACCTGATTCGAATACAGTATGCAAAAGCCTAGGAAATGGATTATTACGGGATCAAAACTTGTAGCTAACGTTCATCATTGTGAAATATCGTTTGCATCAAGATGTTTGTTGTTGTTTTTTGAGATGACGTCAAAAGGTATCTGTAGATACAGTAGATAGATATTGTTCTCCATAACTTTGACGCGACACAATATTTACTTTTCCGGTATTTACCGTTTCAACCAATCGGATCATCCCTTTTTTTTTTTTTTTTTTTTGGCTCACGCGTTATTCCGTCCATCACAACCTACGATTACGAGTATGCATCAGGTAACCATCGCTAGGCTGAACGGTCATAATTCCGACAATGTACTCGAACGTCGTGCTTAGAATGTATTTGTGAAATAAAGGTATGACTCCAACCTGTTGCCATCTATTATGGCGCAAGTTCGTGTCAAACGAACCTATTTTAGAAGGAGCTGATTTGCCGATTAGTAATTGCATCCCATGTTCTTTTTTTATCTTTTCTTGTGTGTTTGTTTCTCTCAAAAGGCAATAATTCCAACGATGAGGTTGCGAACCACAGCTAAGACAAAAGGAATTTTATAACAAAGTCGGCAAAGCTTAGAGACCGCTGCACAGAGAAAAACGCGCGACGAATAGAACACAAACCAAACGGCACCTTGTATCCGATGAGCTGCAGTTGCATTTCCATTGTCATACATACATCTCATTCGTTTTCCAAAAATGAAAATGGAATTATACAAAGGAAACAAAGTTTCTTTATTTTCTTTAGCGGTCGATATTTCGAAAACACTTGTGTCAGGAACAAAAGAAAAAAAAAGATTTGAAATTGTGTATGCACGTACGACACGAACTATGTCACAAATAATAAATAGGCAATCGTGCTAATCAAATATTGATGATAGATGCCGTCTGTTTCGCGATTGCTGATTGTTTAGTAAATTCGAAAGGTAAATTCTTCAAGAACGAGAATTTTGCCCTTGGCAAACTTTAACTTCCGTAGCACGCTGGTGGAACGGCTGGTAGTTCAATGCGTTCAGCTTCTTTTTGTATGTTACCCATCACGCATTGTTTACTTTCAGGACTGATGGAACATATCATTTGTGTAATGTTCCTAAAAAATCTCTAATTTCTCATTATAGGAAGAAACTTGGATTCTTCATGAACTGATCAACTATTTGGTAACTGTCATCATATCTATATATAAAATGCATATCTGAAAACATCGTGCGCACAGATTTTTTCATCAAATCTATATATATAAAACGCATATCTAAAAACATTGTGCGTACAGATTTTTTTTCTTCTCACGCATAAATTTCATCCTACAGTTTGATAAGTGTAAATTTTGTCAAGATGACCATATCGAGGACCACCGACACAACCTCAACCCTTCACCTGAAGGTTCCCAACAATTTATCTTCATCGCCAAATCTTTCTCCACTATCCTCACCAAAGCTTTCACCGCTGTCAACGGAACAGATCCCAGAGCCTTTTGGACTTCAGACTCCACTCACACCAACCTTTCATTTTTCATTTTCACCGCAACAACCTCCGATAGTCACCATTTCTTTGGAAATATTTGCAAAGATCTGTGAGCACCTTACCCCGCTCGACATCATCAATCTTTCAAAGGTATGCAAACAATATCGAGACTACCTGTGCTCAAAAACCTCGGCCGCCTCCCAAGCCATCTGGCGCAAGGCAAGAACTCAATTCCTAATTTACCCAAGATTACCACCACCGCAAGGGATGGATGAGGAACGTTACATAAAGATTACAAACTTTGATAAGAGATGTGAATTTTGTGGAACGAACGAACCAGGCAGTACTAGGTTGTACTGGGAATTCCAGACAAGAAGCTGCGATCCGTGTCTGCTAGAAAGAACTGTGATGTAAGTTTGCGAGAACGATTCAACCAACCAACCAACCGAATCTAAGAAAGATTATTTCATTAATTTCGAAATTATCGACGTTAATAATTTTTTTTCGGATATAACAGACACGAAGAAATTCTAATGGCAAACCGAATTCCCACGAATGTTCTTGATACAATACCGTGCGTATGGATACGGGGCGGTGCGTTTCCTGTACCGGTACACCGATATTACTGGACCGAAGAAGTGGAATCCACAATCGAGAGCTGGGATCTACAGCCAGAGAGTGAACTTATAAAGTGGTTGTCACGCAGAGTGATTCATCATAAAGCGTTTATGTCTGAGGTTTCGCGACATTACGCGGAAGATCAAAAACAATGGAGCGATAGTTACATTTTGCAACGAAAGAATAAAGGTGTCTCGGCACCACTGTAATTCTCATCATGTCTATAAAAATTTTTTTTTCTTTTTTTAATGTCACTTAGGTTTAATTAGTTGTGAGAGAGAAACATTGTCATAAATCACGCCTCGCGTTGTCCGGGAGAAATTCGAATAGCATTTTGATATTTATTCCTCTGGTGTAATGCGTGTTCAATTTTCCAGAAGGTTGTCACGAGAGTGAGAAAAGCAAAAAAAAAAGAACATTTAATCTTCTGTCGATAAATGAACGCGAATTTTTTTGTCAATCAGACATTTTGCAAATTGGGTAATTTAATGTGCGTTAAGGATAATCAAAAACCATTAACACGAGCTTGATACTTGAATTTTTGAATCCAATTCCGCGGTTCAACAAAATTGGAAACATAAAACAATAAAAAAAATTAGGCAATCAAACACTAATAATACACGATGGACCTGTTTTTCTGTGTGATGTTCGAATGTTACAGGTTATTTTCTTTCCTTTTTTTTTTCTTTAAATCAAAAGAATTGTCATTACCAGGAATCCCTAATGTAAAGAACTATTCTTATTGGTTCATCGATGATTACTACAGCATAATTTTCTTGTCCCTTTTTTTCGTTGTGTTTTTAAACAATTACACGTATACATGTACGCCATATTATCTTATGTCAGGAGGCTTTACTATTTTCAATTGGGGCTCCTTTGAAATCCTGGGGCTGCTAAGTTGTACATTGAAGGTCATCCTGTTATTTCAAGTTAAGCTTAGGGTGGATATGCGCTGCTTAGACCGATTCTCCTATGCAACATAAAGTTTACTTTTTTTTTTTTTGAGGGATGATTTTATTACTTTGATTTGCTTGGACGTCTATAAATAATTTACATTAAATTAATGGCAATCGATCAGGATCACAAAGTCTCATTGATATCAATATTTAATATGTTCGTGTTCGGGTCTCCACCATTAAACGATCGATCTTGTTGGAACCATTGACGAACACCACGAACATGCGAAAAAGAGCAACCAATTCTATTGATGTTCGTTCGGCGAAGAAAAAGAATGCGGCGTCATCGTTGAATTGGCTATTTGAATCCAAGAGGATCACATTTAACATTAGTCCCATCACTAGCGTATTATTCTTGTTACTTCTCATATCCATTTTTGTCACATACGAAAAGCATAAGGAACAAGCTGTGTGTCGGGTGTTGAATGATTGTCAAGAGAAAATCTCGTGGATATCTGTCCCTGAACCCACGAACTCAACAGAATACCTTCATTTAGGTAATGGAGCATTCGTTTATCGGCACATATACATGGATGAGTTTGAGCAAGAATTTAATGTGACACCAATTTATTTCCCGGCAAGCGATCTTTCTTCTCTCTGACATGGTCGTGCTGTCACTATTTTAACATATGCCATCGATATTTTTACAGATAATTGATCCGGATATCTCCAGATATATTTCGAAGTATAACCTTACTTTTCGTTTAAGGAATGACACTGAGATCGATCAGTCTGAGGTTGAAACGGCTCTTGAAGAAACTGCTCGTTACGCTCACGTTGTCAAAGAACAAAAATACCAAGTTGATAATGGGACGTTTGTGGATGATGGTCGAGTATATGTTCGGTGGGTAAATGATATTGTAAGGTATGGTATGTTTGCAGGACGTAAGATGGAAAAAGGGGATGTTTTAGGAATCTATAATGGTGAGTGTATGATATCTTGTACACATTTGGCGAAATTGTTTGTATTCCAACACGTTTTAATTGCCACCTACATTGATCAGGAGTTATTACGAAACAAGGCGCCGATCTAGAATATGGTAAGAATTTAACTTGCGCTTTTTTTTTTTTTATGCTCACTGGTTTTTTATTTTTTACATTAGCGTGGCAGTTCAATAATTTAGTTGAACTTTTGGATGACAATGGAGAAGAAATAAGAACTTGTATTGATGGCAAATACCATGGAAATTATTTACGCTTTGCTAATCACCGTGATGGTTCGGTTTTCTTCTCTAAATAGTATTATGCTTTATCATTAATTTATTTAAGTGATTTACTGTCGTTAATACGTAGCTAATCAAAATGGCAATCCAACCTACGTTATATACGACGATATATGGTATGTACTATATGTCGCTCTCGAGGAAATCATGGTAATGCTGTTCTGTTATTATAAACCAATCCACTGTACCTTTTGATTTTTGGTGTTTGGATGCTAACTTCATTATTATTATTGTTGTTATTATTCCCCAGCCACATGAACAAATATTTGTTGATTATGGCCAATCGTATTGGGAAAATAAAATAAAATACGAATTCTAGCAATATTCTGCGACGAATACCAAATATGTAAAGTACACATGTCATGTTCTTGCATCCCACACCACTTATACCGCATCACTTATACTGCATCTCTTAATATCATTAGATCATTCTGAGTCTTTGATCAAAACGATACGAAATGGCACCGTTCTTTCGGTATAGATCGCCAAATTAGTATCAATGTTTGGTTTCAGTTCTCTGTATAGGTTTTTCGGTTTGCCCGGGTTGGATCGGTCAAAGATGATGAATACCGAGATGTAATTGTGAAAAAGGGACAAAATACCAAAGAACTTATGTATCATGTTACACCAACTTATAATAAATTTCAAGCAAATTAAAATCAGGTCTCGCCGAGAATCGAACTCGGATCGCAGGATTCAAAGTCCTGAGTGATAACCATTACACCACAAAACCGCTCGATATAATTTTTTTGCTTGCTTTTAATCAACAATAATCACGTGCTTTAAGTTTAAATAATATTACAGTACGTGCTTTTTTTTCCTGCACACTGTATACCGTACATTGTATACAAGGGTACGAAAGGCTTGAAGACACTGTATATGAAAGGAAATATTTTTTTTGTAGGGCGTGTTACCTAACCTAAATCAAGGATTTCCGATTTGGTACTTAACGATAGCAAATATTTAGATACACACTTACAGTGATCTAATAATAATTGATTCCGAAATGACTGTTTTAACTATTATTGATATGTCAATGATTCATTTTTGATACAAAAAGAAATACTGTACAGTGCATGCAGTAAAAACTTGACTTTACATACAGTGGTTAAGAAACATGCCACGGTATGAATATATGCAACAAAATGTACCCGTGAAAGATGGGATTTTTCATAAATAATACTTTTTCTATTCCCGGATTTCTCCTAAAATGGTTAGATTGATATATCCCCACGGAAAATCGAGGTTACTTTTTAGGTGGAAAAGTGAATCACGTGGATTGTACAAATATCCTTGGAAGTATTCTAGGCCCATTACCAGGGACATTAAAGTCCCGACTCGGCACCAGGAATTAAGTCTGGGTTGATTAAGTTTTGAGTCTTGGTTACATAATAAATGATATCATAATACCCGATTTCAATTCTTTAAGCATATTGAAGCTTCTTTGTATTCTTAAAAAGACTATTTCTCGTGAATTCAATAGTATTCTTTGTTATAAAGAAAGATATACTTACAAGAAACATTCATAATTTGCAAGATAACATAACTTATTTCCATAAGAACTTGAGAACTTTAGTTGAAAAATGAAAATCATTAATTCTTTACTCTAATAATGAATCTATCTTTAATCAAAAGATAAAAAAGATAAATGATTGGTTTATTTTTTTTAGATTTATTTATTTATTATTTTCAATCTTCAAAAAATTTTCAACAACATTTTTGACTTTATAAATTGAATTCATTTTCCTCTTTTTAATATAATAAATAAATTGTTGTTAGATGATATTATTAAATAATAAATGTTTTCTTTATTAAAATTTCTAAATTTAATTGATAAATAAGAATTGTAAAAAAAATAAGTTTAATAGATTTTTAACTATTCTTTTTCCTCAATATTTTTTGTAAATTTATTATTATTTTTTATTTTTATTATTAAAATATTTCTATTAAAAATATTATTATTATTTATGATTAATTTAATTAATATTATTATAGTCCATTATATCAAAATCATATTAGCAAATTATGATTTAAAAAATTAATATAAAAACATATTAATAAATCATAATTTAAAAAATTAATATAATGTTTATTAACAATTGTATATAAAAAAAATAGTTATTCTTGAAAAGTTTTTAAAAATATTATATCATTATTGTTGTTATTATGTTTTATCTCAATTTATTACTATAATAAATTTCATATATATAAATATATATATTTTTTTATTATTGTTATTTTTATAAATAAACTTTTTTTAAAAAAAAAATAATATATTTAAATAAATATTAAGTTTAAAGTTATAAAAAATAATATAAAAATTTAAAAATACATTTAAAAATATATTTAAATTATTATAAATTATAGAAATATACTGTATATAATATACTTCAAAGTATTATATGCTAAATAAACTAAGCCAAAAAAATATACTGTATTAAAATTAGATTTTAATAAGATTAAAAACATTTTTTATTTTTTATTTTTATATTAGTAACATAATAATTTAAAATTTAAAAAGTTAGAAAAATTTAAGTTATAAAATATTAATAATTAATAATAAATACTATAAAAAGATAAAAAAATTATAAAAAAAAAAGATATCTATTCTATAAATTAATAAAAATAATTTAGATATTATTTTTAAATATTTATGATTATACTGTATTTAAAAAAAAAGATATAACAAGATATTTTTTTTGTATAATTAATCTTTATATATATAAAAATATTAGATAATGAAAAATTATTAAAAAAGAATATTATTTTTATTATCAAATGTTTTATTCAATATAAAAATCAATTGATTTGTATAAATTATAAATTAAATTAAAGAAAACTTGAAGAATAATTTTTTAATAATAATCCATTTGACAAATAATTTACACTAAAAATAAACATTAAATATATAATATTTATTGTATACAGATGAATCAATAAAAAAAACAGATACAATAGGATAGGTTTTTCAAAATTGGTAAGAAATTAATTTTACTGTATATTAAAATAATAGAAATTGTAACATAATTAAAGTAGAATTGTTGGCAATATTTAGAACGTCTTACCATGTATTATTTGAATTATCAAATATAAACATCTTCACAAATAGTAAGAATGCTATTTGCCTAATTAAAAACATTCATTCTTAATACAGTACAAAATTACATTATACATATCATTCTACAAATAATAAAAATCTTTGATCATGTATATTATATGAGCACACTCAAATAATAAATGAAACCATAATGCAGATGAGATAACAAAAAGAAAGTCACGAGGATGAAACCACTTTTATTTGTGCACTTCGTAAGAAAAAAAGATGTGTCATAATGTGATAATTTGTGAAATATCCATCAAATATAAAAAATGATTCTATATGTTAGTTTTGTTCAATGTAAAATCAAACTATTGTATCAATGCTAATTGTTTTGAATTTGTTCGATATAAAAAACAGAATATAGTTTCAGAAAAACCAATAATATAAAAGTATGCAGAATTAAAAGAAGATTAATAAATTTAATAATGATACATTTTTTTGGCCAAGCATCGTGCAAATGTGTTGCGTTATAATAATCACGTGATAAAATGGATAGTCGAACTCGGCCCAAGCAGGCAAACAGTCGATTCCACCGAGCTTTTTATCATTTACAGTTATCAACCCAAGTGTACAGTCAGCACCGAAAGTGACGCCCGATTTTCAGGTATAATCACATGGACAGATAAATACGTTATGTTTACCCCTTTTTTGACATTTTGGGGATCTAATTTTTTTCCTGTTTATTTTTTAGGTTGTCAGCTAAACGCGACGTAAAAAAAATTGTTGGCACAATATGAAACCTCCCCGTACCCAGTTAACTGAAGTGGACAAAGGAAAAATCCTAGCTTACATCGAAGATATGAATGCAGAGCAAGTAGCACGAAAAATGAGACGCGACCCAACAACAATACGACGATTTCTTGCCAAGTACAAAAAAACAAAGAAAATCGAAAATTTGCCTCGATCTGGCAGACCACCAGCTCTCAATAAAC